AAAAATAAATGAAAATCCATAAAGTAATATTTCTTATATAAAATCAGTTGTGTTATAATACATCAGCAACAATCAGAAAGTAGAGCTTTAAAATGTTACTATTTATAATATGAACAAAATATCTAAGATACCAAAAGATAATAAAAGATGGATATGAAAATTATAGGACTACAACAGAACATTATGAAAGATACAAAGAGAAACTATACACACACACACAAGCACACACACATCTATATATACTGTGTTCATTAGCAAGAACATTCCATATTGTAAAAACAACGGTTTTTTTCCAAATTATATGTCCAGTACAATACCAATCAGAATCCCAAGTGTTTCTTAGTATTTTTGTTTTAGTTAGTATTTTTAAATCTTGTTTTGTTTTTTACAGAGCTTGGCAAACTCATTCTAAAATTCATATGCAAGAGCCAATTAAACCAAGCAAGAGAGTAGAATAACTAAAATAGCTTTTAAAAAGATGGTAGAGGGATTATCCCTAGCAGATATCAAGACATGTTATAAAATGATGATAATAAATATTGTCAGACTTAGGGGAAGACACTGAAGCTTGGAAACTTGATATTTGACAGACATGGTATTACAAATTAGTGGGGAGATAATAGATTATTTAATGAATAATCCTTCCAATATAGAAAAAAAATTCTATCCCTACCTCACACCACATGCAAAGCTCAATTACAACTGTATTAAAGATCAAATGTGAAAAACAAGATCTTAAGATTCAGAAGATAATGTGGGAGACTATTGAGTTTGGGTAGAGTTTCTTTAAAAAAGCAACTTAAGACACCAATAAACCTGACTCCACAAAAAGTTAAAACATTTGTACTACAAATGACTATAAATGAAGCTGAAAGGCAGGTAGAAGGTAGTAGCAATTAATACAACTAGCAAAGATTTTGTGTCTAGAATTTGTAAAGAGCACAGTCATTCACTTCTAGGTATATCCTAGAGAAATTTTTGAATATTGGTATAATGCAAAATAGAGAAAAATGTTCACTGAAATCTTTTTAACTTTTGGTAATTATAAGAAATTAAATGTTCATTAACAGAATGAAAAAAATGAATTATAATTTATTAATACATTGGAACATTACATACAGAAGATAAAGTAAATGAATCATATATATGTATACATAGAGATAATATAAAAAATTATAAATTAAATAGGTTTTAGAAAGACATACACTACAATGTTAAATTTTTTAATGTTCAAAATTCTATTAAATATAGTTTGGACACCTATATTTACATCTATTTATATATTGAAAATTTAAATACATATATGGAAATGATAAACTCCAAATCCAACATAGTAGTTACCTTTGTTGAGAAAAGAAGTTGGACAGGATCCCAAAGAGGGATGCTAAAGAATCTTCAATTGCAATCTTTTATTTATTAAAAATCAATAAAAAGGCAGAAACATTAGTAGCATATATGACAAATTCTAAGTACCCTGTCAGTTTGTGTGATATTATTTTTTATTTTCATATGTTTAAAATCATTTATACATATTAATAAATTAAAAGTGAAAGTTAAATGGCCAAATTCCTTTCCCTTGCCCTGTATCCCAGAGAGTCATAGTTCCTCTGACCCCCAGGCCAAGACTCAGCTCAGCAATTGGTAGAAAATTATGCTGCAAATGGGTAGGCATTTTGTGGGGGCTGTTTAACTAATGGGTACCATGTTGTTTCTTTGGAAAAATGCCTTCTGAGTTCCAAATGACATACTTTTGTGCCATAATTTGGGGATTATGTACTATTATAAATATTGTAGTATAAGTGGCATCTTCCTTTAGCAAGAAAAAGGCAAGTGACTAGTAAAACAGTTGACAGGGCTGTCAAGGGATTTTGACCCATTCAGTGTTTTGCTAATGGTTCTGAGTTACTAAAGATACTATAAAGCTTTCTGAATCACCACCTGAAAAGAAATATTGCTCAGCATTGTTTTGTAGCCACGATTGCCAGTTTCCAAAGATTAAAACAGAGCTTATTTAAATGGCATATTTACTTAGCTAGAGTCTTTCTCCATTCATTCTGACTGATGTTAATCACAGTAAGTCACTGAACCCCAAAAGACGCTGGTCATGCCCCCCAACTATTCCATAGAAGCCAAATTTCCTGGGCACAGCCTCTGCACTGGAAGTTAAGAAGTAGGTGCATTATTAGTGTTAATAGAAGTTTCCCTTTTGAACTAGAACAATGAACATTTTCCTTCCTTTTGTCTGGTGTCTTCAGACTGGATTGCTTATAAGATTGTTATTATTTCTCTTGTTATGCACATACAATCCAACTTCTGTGATAGTAATTTGGTAGTAAGTGGCCTTTCTCGTAATTAGAAAATAATCTTATGGCAGGATAAAGCTTGAAATTGCTCTCTCTGAAATGAGCATGCTTTTGTTTGCAAGATTAACTCGATTCCCACTGCTATACCTGGCAGCAGAATTGCCCAATCAGTTTGGTGACTGGATTGAACTTTTTCTACAGGAATCATGTAGCTATGCAGCTTCAGAAACACAAATCCACTCCCTCATTGTTGGTTTTTTGACAGCTTTTTCTGTAGAACAGTTTGAAAAGAAGAGAGCCCTGTTTCTGAGACAGAGAAGTGTTTTCACACCTGAAGTGTAATTTCACACCTTGTGTTTCTCAGCAGATAAGTGCATAAAATAACACATCAAACTGGAATAGAAAAAGATCAACATAGAAAGAAAACTGCAGGTTGTAATTTGTTTCCTATCTTACAATACTCTTGGAGAGAACAGTAAATTACAGAGATCTGCGTTTAAGCTTTAAAAAGTTTGACTGGTCGTTAGGTGGGAAAATGAGCAATAAACATTAACCAGCTTGCGGCCTGCATTGAACAGAATGTACAGCATGATAGAATTTGGGAAACACCCTAACATTTTGGTTTTTTAGGAGAATAATGTGCGCATGTTAGTAGTAAAATTTGTAGATAAAGGTCAAGACATTTATAAATTGATTTTAATAAAAACGTAATTGAGGAGATAATTATTTTATGATGGTTCCATTCAGGAATTTTAGCAAAAGGAGACCATGTTGGTAAAATGTGAATGCTTTCTTTCCTTTCTGTAATGATGCTAGTCACTGTTTTCTGGCATTCTAGTGGAGGGGTTCTACAATGAAGAAGTTTAGCTTCATTGCACAAGTTTGAAAACTTGAGACCAAAAGAAAAAGAAAGTTGAGCTTCCTGACTAGGCATGAACATTCATTACAAAATATTTATTGAAGGTCTAGCACATGGTAGGCACAAGCTAAGTATCAGGGGTACAGTGGTTAATACAGCAATCCCTCTCTCTACCATTGGAAAACTGCATCTTTGCAGACAAGTAAATAGGCAGTGATAATACTGGTGGTAAGTGCTGAAACAGGCTAAAAGTAGGTTTTAGTGGAGACTATAAGAGGGTTATCTGAACTGGTGGGAGTGAGAGAAAAAGGTGAGAAAGGTCAGCAAATATTCCCGGATAAAGTGATATCCAAACTGAACGCAATGAACAAAAGTCATATGAGGCTGAATATCGGTCCGGATGACAGAGCACAGGAGCATGTACAGATGAGAAAGAGAAAAAGAACAAATTGGGTTGGAGGAGGGGAGGAAGTTCAATGCAGTAGAATGCAGTGTATAATGGCAGCAGTGGTAAGCAATGAGACTAGAAGATAGGGCCAAAGAAAAAAGTCTACACCAAGAAATTGAGCTTTTATCTTGAGACTAGTGGGAAGTACTAAAGACTTAGTTTGTGTTTATTAGTGAGAGTGACATGGCCGGATCTGTATTTTACAGAGATTGCTCTGGGAGTCCCCTGACTAGGAGGTCAGTGAGGAAACGTGAGGTAATATAGGTGAGAAATGCTGGCGACCTAAGCTTACAGTGTACACAGAGTTCAGAGGCACTGGGGATGGAAAGAAGTGGGTAGATTTGGGAACTGTTTGAGAGGTAGAATCAACAGAACGTGGTGACTGATTGGGTGAACTGGGAATGAGGAAGTCAGTCTTGTGAAAAATGAGGTCCTGATTTCGGACTTGGATAATTTGGTGAATGATGCTACTATTCACAGGGATAGGGAACACTGGAACAGCAAATGTTTAGAGTTGGGGGCATATTGAGTATGAGACGAGTGTAGGATTTCAAGAGAAGAAGTGTAGTATTCAGTTGAATCTTGAGTTTGGGAGAGAAGTTGAGGCCAGACCTATGGACTTGGTAGATGTCATTGAAAATATGGGAGTGGATGAGATGGTCCAAAGGATATGTAGACAGCCTGGGCAACATAGGGAGACCCTATTTCTACAAAAAAATTTTAAAATTAGCTGGGCATGATGGTGCATGCCTGTAGTTCCAGCTACTCAGGAGGTTGATGGGGTAGGATCACTTTGGGCCCAGAAGTCAAAGCTGGAGTGAGCTGTGATCATGCCACCGCACCCCAGCCTGGGCAACAGAGCAAGACCATGTCTGTCTGTCTGTCTGTCTGTCTCTCTCTCTCTCACACACACACACACATAAACACACACACGAATATGTAGAGAATGAGAAAAGAATTCTCCAATTCAGGCATAAAATAGCAATTTGACTATGAAAAAAATCATGTAGAGCAAAATGTGTATATTTATCTTGTTACATAAATAAATGTAGATGAAGAACTGTGCCTGCCCACAAACACCATTGCACGTATGCCTGTGTACGTATGTATACACCCTGTGCACGAAGAGGTACTAATGAGCATCAGCAATGTGTGCTGGATAGTGAGCCACATGAAACATGAGGCACTCAAGGTAATAATTCCCTTCTTTAATAATTCATGCAAGCTGTGTTGCCCAACAGCAAGAACCAGGCTTAAGGATACTGATCAGTATGTTGAAAGGAGAATTGTGTAGCCCATATAAATGTTACGACTAGTCCAGCCAAACAGAGAGCACTAATGTTTCTTACCATTCTCACCCCACCCTTTTTTTTTTTTTTTTTTGTCTTAGATACATATGGAAAACTCTTTCTCCTCAATTCTGTGGGTCAAGAGATGTCCCGTTGCAAGACGTCCATTCGGCGTGGTCAGCCCAATCCTGTCTATAAGGAGACCTTTGTTTTCCAGGTGGCCCTCTTTCAGCTGTCTGATGTCACGTTGATGATTTCCATTTATAACAGGCGTACTATGAAGCGTAAAGAGATGATTGGCTGGATTGCCCTGGGCCAGAACAGCAGTGGAGAGGAGGAACAAGATCATTGGGAGGAGATGAAGGAAACCAAAGGCCAGCAGATATGCAGATGGCACACTTTGTTGGAATCCTAGGTTTGCTTACCTGCATTTGTGTGCTGTGTCCACCTTGGTTACCTGTGTTGCTGTCTACTGACACCAAGTCGGTGTGTCCTGGCAAGGGTTTCAGGGTTTCAAAAACAGATTCCACTAACCCCTAGGACATTGTGAGTGGGAGTTTTGGGTTTCTCAATGGTTTGATTTGGATTTAAATATTGTAATTTTAAAAACACACATACACAGTGAAGTGTCCATATGGAAAATGTTAGACCACAATTAAGACCACTGATGAGTTAATTTGTGCCAATAGATCATTGAATTTTGGTTTAGGGTATGGGGTGAAGCTTCTTCTGCTGTCTCTGTTTGCTTGAAGAGTAACCTGAGATTGCAAGGGAGCTGTTAAATGCTACTATTTGCAACCATTTAGGTGGATGAATCAGAATTTTCTTAATATGGTACAAAAAACTCCAAAATATAGAAATGAATCAGATGCTGAGCCTCATAGAAGAATCTAACTCTAATGCATAAACTCTTATTTCACATTTTTCTCTTTATCAAAGAACCTATTTACCTAATGAGTAAATATTATAAACTTGCACTTTTAAAATAAATTTGTATTAATTAAATACCTCTTTTATCTTATATTTTGTGGTTTCTATGAGATTTGGTTAGATGAATCATTTTGAAGCAAGGAAAGAGTTCAGAAACTACTGTTTTAAGACAACTTGTCTCCTTTTGAATATGTAAGATTTCAAACTTGTAACTTTCAAGGTTTTTATGCTGTCTTTCTCACCCAGTAAGTTCTTACAGAATAAGAAGAAAACAAAAAACAAGACTATTTCAGTCATAGATTTATTGATTTTTCTGATTCTGGTGTTCTTTTGGATTATACTTTTTCTATGTTCAATTATATATACTCATATATTAATATTTTGAATGTACTGCATGTAAATCATGCTCTTTTTAAATTGAGTATTTTCCATCACTACAGCATAGTAAATTGTACACCGTGGGTCTTTAATAAATATTGATTTGATTGACTCTTCAAAGTGAAAATGTTATAATACCTGTGAATGGAGAAATATTTTCAGCTTGTGTGGAATAATATTAAGTTTTTCTTTGAGCATTTGAAGTGCCTATAACTGTCATTTTTTATGGCATTTGCAGCAACATATATTAGTCACTACTTGCAGTCTGGGCATGTGCCACTCAGAACACTGATCTTGTATGGTTATGAGCATGGGATTTTACTTGTGACTTACTTTTACATATTTATGCAGTGCATGTTTATTTTCCTTATTCTTAGGTCTGGGCCCTTAATTTCAATTACTTTAAATTGGCTTTAATAAAAAAATAGGGAAAGAATGTATGTACATTTAATCCCTGCGCTCAATGTGCAGCTCTTCTGAGCAATTGCTCAGTCACCTATTTTTAGTTTCTATGTTTCATTGTGGACTTTTTCCTGTCTGTGGGAAGAGTGATAGCTAGTGATGGCTGTATACAGTTAAAAACACATAACTCCTCCTCAGCTCCACGTTTTGACAGATTGTAAGCGTAGGCTGTAACACTTGAAGAACATATTTATTCCTTACAGTGTGTAATGGTTATCCTGACAAGACCAGACTAGGGCACAGGATAACTCTACTATGCTTTCAGGGTTCTGTCTTTGAATGAAATGATTTCATAGGGAAGAATGAGAATTTGCCAAATAAATTAATACCTTAATTACTTTTCAGGTCATGGGAGTTTCATATATATGACTGCTCAGTTATTAGGAATATGTAATAAAACCATGCTCCTCTGGGTTTTTACCCTACCTTTCTTTGGGAGAGCTCAGACTGCTTTTCCAGCATTATATCCATTAACTGCTGAGTGGTCTTTGCAGCGTGGCTAAGTCATTGAGTAGAACTGAGTGCGATTGATTAAGTAGCAGCACAAAGAATTGGCTTTTCACATCTCTTTATGCCCTGTGTTTAAAGGGAAGTGGAACAGCCTCACTATGCTTTCCTTTATGCAGTAACATAATAGCAGCATTCATTTTAAAATTTACATTTGAAAAAAATCTGTATATATTGTACAGACAGCCCTGAATTTTTCCTTCTCATATTTTCCTGCTGTTGCATCCTTGTTTCATGGTACCCAATAATCACCTATACTTCATTTTCTGTTCCCAAGACCCACCCATTTTTGAGGTTTTCTGCTGGTATAGTGAAGATATTTGTGTGCTTGATCTGCCTTCCAATGGTCTGTTTATGATACAGTTTACAGGAGTGTGCAGCATTTTAAGGGAAGGAATGCCTGAAAAGCATTTTTTATTTTTATAATTTTACTATGTTGGTGCTACTCACCAAATAGGATGCATGTACATCTTGAATATACAGCAACATTCACCCTCAGCTGATTGTATAAATCTAAAATGCTGAAGACAAGATATATAACAATATGTGGCTGATTTTTTTTTTACCTTGATTTGAAATTCTAGTTTAGTAAGATCTTTTGATTTTGTGCACTTAAACTCCCTTATTTTCTTGGCAAAGTCTAGACACAAATGCATTTAACATGTTTTTCACTTGAGCTTTTACATTTGGTTTTCAAAAGAGTTATGAAAGATAATTAGTTGGTTCTGCAGTGAAAAAAAAACCTGCTTTTGCCTATTTCTTCCGGCTAATAATTAATATCTCATAGGGAGATTTGACATTGAAGCAGCACTGGTTTTTGTTGCTTGAGTAGGTCTTTCAGTGATTTTGCCTGAAGAGCAGGCTTTTAAAATAATATTGTTAAGAGTAAATGATGTGCTGGGTTGATGGAAATCTGCTTTATAGTGTGCCTTCTTTTAGGGTGTGAGTTTACACTGAATTGAGAAATCCTGATTTCACCAATTACGGTGGTGGCTGTTGTACTCCCTGTTCCCCTCTGACTATTGTTGAATTTTTAAATGGACCATTCACCAGGCAGCCGAACACCTGCTCTCCGTTCCTCTCCTTCACTGGCTCCCAGTGTGATGCACGTTGTTTTGGACTCTGTTTTTGCTGATGCCGCATAACTGTTGGAGGTGGGGGTGTCTTGCCTTCCCTAACATAAGAAGAATTTGTAATGCCTTTGGATGTATTATACTCGGCATTCCACCTGCATGAAATCAGGGAAAAAATCATCACCATGTTTTTGAGAGGGAAAAGAGTATGGCGTTGCATAGTCATTCACTTTAGGCACTATTAATTCTGACATCCTTCACTGAAAATTAACTGACATCGAATGTCAATATTCTCCACAGTCCTAGGTGCCAGTGAGCCTGAAACACAGCTTCTGCCTTTTCAATATGTAGATTTCATAATATTTTACAAGTTATCATTACCTCTTGGGTAGTCACTGTGCTTTAGATGATCTTATCTGAGAACCAAGATTCTTTTCTTTCCAGAGGAAGTACTATTTAAGTAGAAGCTGGCATTAGGTTAAATAAAGGTGCTCCTCTGATAGCCACCAATTTGATTTAATTGATGATTCGGTGTGGACATCACTGTGGGTTTCCTAAAAACCTGGTTATCCTTTTGCAGCAGAGGACTTAGTATATTAAAAGCAGAAAAGTGAGTAGGAAAGAATTATTTGTAAATGTCATAAAACCAGATAGAGGTATATTCTTTACTAATAAAGAAACAGGACTAGAACATGCATGTGGTATCTCCTTTTACTTTTGAGGAAACTGTGGTTAAAGAACATTCTATTCTATTTGATCTAAGAACCAAGCAAATGATGGATAACCCTGAAATGGTAAAAGTATTTTTATCTTAAAAATTATTCATTTGGGCAAAATCATTTACAACAAAATAAAAAGGTCATACAGCACACCGATGGAAGAATTAAAGAATAAATAAATGTGCTGGATACATTTAGAATCCTCCAGGGAGTAGCACGCAAGGAGAGTAAACTAATAAACCAAAAGACGCATAAGATCAACTAGCTATCGCTTTTCTAAAACTTGGAGAATTCTGAAAAATATTTAAAGATGAGAGAAACGAAACTGTCCTAAGACAATGAGATGGGCATAGCACAGTGAAGTTGGCACAAACTGTGATCCTAGCCTGGGTTTACATGAAACTCTGCTGTGGGGCCTTAAGAAAATTACTTAGCAAGCCTGTGTCCTGGTTTCTTCAACTGGAAAATGAAAATAATACCTACCTCATTAGGTATCTGAAAAGGTATCAGTGAAACCACAGATGTAATGTGCCTAACGTAGAACTGGGCATTTGGTTAGCATTCCATAGTTCCTCCTCACAGTCATGCTTGAAAAAGAAAATATTTAAGATGTATCTTCTCTTTCTAGCAAAAGTTATTGGAACACTGGAGAAAAACAAAAACCAACTTTCAGATGCTGTAAAAAGGATAGGCTCATGAAGCCAGGCTGGATTTGTAAATAAAGGAGGCTTCATCAGGACAGCCTAATCAGAGATAAGCCTGGTATGTGGAGGAAATTGAGCCTTAACAGAGTCCAACTGTGGTAGAACCAAGTCTTTGCATTTATCTCCTTAGTTTGGAGGGAGTACACATCCTTGATGGTTTGCGTGTACCTCTTGATCGATCACGAACAAGGCTTCTCCTTGTCTCCAGCTCTCATTCATAAATGGACAAGGCACTTTGTCGCCTTCATCAAAAGAGTTGGTGACAATGGCAGTTTGACTGCATATTTCAACTGTGATCCAAAAAAGTAAAATAAATGACGTGATACTACACTGACACTCTTTTAAAAATGGATAACACTTTCTTTAAAACCTACATTGCATATCCATTTTATATTCTGATAGGCAAACATTTTAAAATACTCTAATAACACGGCTCTCAAAACTTATCTGTTTGACTGGAATGCTCTATTCAGAACAAATTATCGCTGTTTCCCTTATGAGATCATAATAAAAGAAATTGAGTTGATACTACTTTTTAAAATGGTTTTTAAGAGTGGCTTGTTCTCAAATGATTCAAACCTTGAGTAAACAGGAGAGTTTCTGGAGAATTTAGAAAAATCTTTGTTGACATTTAATCTAGAGAAGTCTTCATGAGAAAACCACTTCAAGTTTAGGGTAACCAGGTGCCATGAATCAGTCATGTGCTACTTGTGGTTTTAAACGAAACATGATTCTGGGATGGGGAAGTGCGAGGCTACACTCCTGATATAATCAAATTGCCAAAGCATTGTTTTGATTCCTAGGTATCCCAACTAAGGAGAAACATGAAGACATTGGAGAATCACTTAGCTTAGGGCCCTTAGTAGGGAATAATTAAATGTGTAGGGAAGGTGAAGGAGTTAGATGGTAGGTAAGAAGGCTGTGGAGATTTCTAGTAACAATGATCCAGAAGTTCTAACCAGGGGGATGGTGCGCACTTTCTCTTCTTGACCACATGGATAGATTTCAGAGCATCCCCCTAATCAAGTCTGGAGAATTGTGTGAAAGTTGTTTCTCATTATTTCAAAATTTATTCATTGTCTAGCCCTGTGCTATTTGGGCTGGCACAGAACTTAAAATCTCTTTGGAGTGCTGTGAGTGCACATTGAAGCAGTTAGTCATCATTATACAATAATGCTTACCAATATACAATTGTTAAGTTAGTCTAACTATGTGCCATAAACAGTAGAGTTCCTTTTTGTGAGTATTGGAAGGTGAAATATTCCAGTATTGGAAGGCTGAATTTATTGGGGCAAGCGTCTAGGAAGCCTGGGACTGGCAGTGAGCCTTGGTTGCATTATATGGGAAATTGGTGGGGGTGGGGGTGTCAGAGAATCATCATCTTTGGAAGATTTTTAAAATAGAAAAATGTGCTTGAGGTCTTGGTTCTGCCAAAGAAGAATGAGAGGACACCCAGGAATATACCCTTTATAAAGTTTCATTCTAATATTCAGGTGTAAGGTTAAAAAAAGAATCAACAATAACACTCCAGGCCTGTCTTCTTCCAATTTGGACATTTTTTCCACATTGATTTTTCTCTGCATCATAGAAAGTTTTCTCTGAAGAGTTCCTATTTGGGTTTTGTTTAGGGCTTTGGGGACGCCTGCAGGCTCAGAGGGAGTTTCCTCTCCTATGGTGCTTTGACTGTTTTTGTTTCCCTTGGGTCACAAAACTGTATCCTAGACACACAGACAATAATCACCTTATATATATCCACTGTGGAACCTGTGAAACAGCTCGAGGCTTTATAGAACAAGCTCATAGGCAGTCATGGGGGTCTGAGGCACTTCTTGGAATGAAGCTGCTAAAATTGCTAACTGCTTTCCATTGCTCACTAATGCTGCCTTAAGGTTTCTCAGTGGGAATTTTTAGTTCATGCCTTCGAGTGACAGTGTTACCGGTTTTATTTTGACGATGATGAAAAAGCTAACTTCCCATTGTATTGCCATATTTATGCATTATTTTTGTTTACTTCATTTCCCCCTGGAAGTATCTAGTTGCTGGGATTTTGTTTGTTTGTTTTATACAAAATTTATTCATTCAAAAAGAACTTTATAGGTTGGGCATGGTGGCTTACACCTGTAATCCCAGCGCTTCGGGAGGCCGAGGAGGGAGAACAGCTTGCGTCCAGGATTTCTAGACCAGCCTGGGCAACATAGTGAGATCTTGTCTCTACAAAATACCAAAAATGTGCCGGGTATGGTAGTGTGCACCTATAGTCCCAACTCCTCAGGAGGCTGAGGTGGGAGGATTGCTTGAGCCTGTGAGCTCGAGGCTGCAGTGAGCCGTGATCATGCCACTGCATTCAGCCTGGGTAGCAGAGTGAGACTGTCTCAAAAAAACCACAAGAAACAATACTTTTTAAAGTGTAAATGTTCCAGACTCAGGGTTAGGGGTTGGAGAATGGCAGTTGGATAAAACAATTTAACAATTTTTTTTTGTTTCTAAATATTCTTTATAAAAACTAGATTCTGATAAGTAATTTAGGTAAACAATAAGATATTTTATTAAGCTTGAATATTTGGCTTAATGTAATGTTCTGCAATTGTCTCTTTCCCCCTTTGAAAGGCAGAGGATTTAGGGAAGGTGAAAGTTATTACCCTGTCTCTAATTAAGAAATAGAGACACTTGTTTGTCAGTCTATGCTTCCATTCAGTATAAATGGATATGTTTTGTATCCGGGGGAGGAAATGCATCATTCCATTCCAGCAGTGAAAAGCATTATAGCATCAAATAGGATATTTAGTATTTTTGACTTTTATAATTAAATACCGAATGCCCTTTGCAAGACAGTAAGTGAGACCCTGGAATGCTAGGTCTGTACAAACTTGACACATTTCTTACAAGCTCTGTGTTTTAATAGTCAAAGGCATTGCTACCCTTTGCTTTTTGAAAGAGTGAACTGGAAACAGTAGCCTCCAGAGAAAGAGGTGACAACCTAAACAAAGAGCCCTGCTTACCTCTCTGTGCCTAAAACTATTCTTAAAAACTGAAGACATGTGGGGTATGCTTATGAAATAGGTAAAGGTCAACATTGGGAGTGTCCCTACTTTGGCAGATAGACCAATACTTTTTTCCTAGACTCAACCCATTTTTAAAGCAGGAGTTTTTCCAATGGAGTGTTTATCATTCTACTAGACATGTCTTAGTCCATGCAAATTAATGCAAAATCTTTGGTGGCCTAAAAATTCTTGCTGAAAGCAAGTTTTTCGTGTTGCCCAGTTGATAGTCCATAACAAAAAATGTACATATCTTGTTTAATAAAAACCTTGATGTTTAAGAAGAAATATCAGAAGTCTGCTGGTAAAAACTCTGATTACGTGAGGAACATGTACATTAAAAGATATTTTCATGTAAGTTATTTTAAGATAGTTGCATTCTAGGGTCATGTTTCTTTTTTTGAGAGTGTTTCTTTGTCAAGTTCCTTATGGCGAATGCCTTGACCAAAGCTTCCTAATTTTGCCATATTTCCTTGTGGGTTATGATAATCTTTATTAATTCACATCTCTACCAAATTATAATATGGTCTTTTGTTATGCCACCGTATGAATGCAGCCGCAAATTCAATTTTATTGTGAAATACAAAGTCTTTTCCAGAATTTTAAAACTTAATTTCAGTGTAGATTTTAAGTCTGTGAATAAGAAATTAGTATTTGTGTACCTTATTATGACAGAGGTTTCTGTTACAATGTTTTCTGTTGTAGTATTGGGATAAGATTTGACCTACATTTTCAGGCAAAAGCTGGTCTTTGAGATCTACTTTTTAAGAAATTAATAAATTTTATTTTTTAGAGTTTTAGGTTCACAGCAAAATTGATCATAAAATATAGAGAGTTCTCATATACCCCAAACACAACCTTCTCCCCGTGAACATTTTGAATACCACAGTGGTATGTTTGTAACAACTGACGAACCTTCATTGACATATTATTATCACCCAAAGTGCATAGTTCATATTAAGGTTCACTCTTGGTGTTGCGTATTTTATGGGTTTTGACCAATGTACAGTGACGTGTGTTCATCATTGTAGTATCATACAGAAGATTTTCACTGCCCTAAAAATCCTCTGTGCTCTGCCTATTCATTCCTCCCTCCCACCTAAGCTCTGGCATCCACTGGTCTGTGTACTGTCCCCATAGTTTTGCCTTTTCCAGAATGTCATACAGTATGTAGCCTTTTCAGATTGTTTTTTTTTTTTTCACTTAGGGATGGTCGTGTAAGTTTTCATGTCTTTTTAGGGCTTGATAGTTCACTTATTTTAAGTGCTGAATAATATTTCATTGTCTGGTTATATCACCGTTTATGACCTATTTGCTTTTATTTCTAGTTCCAGTTGCTATGGCAAATTTTATTAAAGTGCGTGCTCTCAGGAAAGGCTTCATATATTTTATATGATCCATCAAATAAAATGTAGCAACTTCCAGTCTAGAATAAATTTCACCTATATGATATTGAGCTTGTTTTACATTGGAGGAGGAGACTTATGAAAAAATCTAATAATTTCATAATTTATATTACCCTATCTACAAGTTTTTCCCTCCATTGGAATCTAAGCCAAAAGTTCTGAAGGTTACGAAGACGTGATCCCAAATTTAGTGACTCTGTAGTGTCTTCTTTTGTTGAGCAATGAGTTAAATATCTGTCGATAAAAACTGCTAATTGTGTTATTACTGATTCATGATAGAAAATCACCTTCTGTTGCTAGTTTATATGACTTTACATTTACCACTCCTGCCAAGAGAAAGGAAGCCTTGTGATTGTGCCCCTTCATAGTTAATTGTACAAATCAATTAAAAATGGTATGTAAGCATCTGGCTCACACAGCAGCTCTGAATTCTGAATGAAAAGATAACCCATGCTAATGTATAGGTTGCATGAACAAGTAGATGGGTGTTGGAAAGATAACACTGATAGTCACTCCGGGTGAAGGGGGAGTCCTGGCCAATGATTTGTATCTGAGAAACATTTTGAGACTATATGTCTTCTGACTGCCCTTTGCTTTGTAGCTATAGCAACTTGCAGAACCTGGCATTATTCCAGAGATAAAGGTATAGTTGTGTAAAGAATATTGGATTAAAGTTGATGAGGCCTATGTTCTCATATCAAATCTTCCACTGATGAGCTCTAAAATATCAAGTCACAATTTCTTCAAGCCTTCATTGTTGCATCTATCAGATGGGAATAATAATACTTATTTTACCTATTTTTACCAGGTGGTTGTAGGAACAGGATTCATTCATTCCTTCATTAGTATAATGAACATTTTGAGACCCCACTATATATCATGGCCGTAAGTATGACAAGATGATAGATGGAAAGACATTTTGCTGAATTTTTGAAGACTTGCAGTGTTTTTGAAGACTATGGGATAGCTTGTTATTTTTATATGAAGGTCACATCAACTCTTTATGTCAATATATCAAAGTAATTGACACTTTTAGAGCTCTGCCAATCAGTGGGCCATATTCATAGAATGTCAGTAATTTGTCTGAATACAAGTTATAGTTGAATGGTCTTTAGCCGCTCTGTCTCTGAGATGCTAGAAAAATTGGGTTCTAATTTTTTTGTTCAAACACTGATCATGAAACAAATTGCAAATCCACATTTTCAGCCAGTTCACCAACCTTTGAGTAGAATGCAGACCTTTCTTTAGAACAATCTGACTTTGAATACAGGCAAAGTATTACATGGAATAGCTTTTCCTCCCTTACAAAGTGGATTTGAATACAGTACTTAGAAAAATTCTTCCACTGCCAAAAAAGGTCCTTCAATCTACTTTATCATTTTTGTTCTGAAGAATCAATCTGGCCCATCTCTCCCCTCCCAAGTAACTTTCTTCACTCGTATAATCATTTTCTTCATAAACGCCCTTTTATTGTCTCCCAGAAAAAGTAAAGATTTAAAACATCATTTTTAAGGTACATCCAAGATTTCATAGCAATATTTTATTTGTGTTCACAGTGCAAGATAAATCTGACTTTCTCAATATTTTTGGTCTTCATATGGCATCTGAAACAGTTGTTCATATTCACACATTTATGTTTCACCATATGCATACTGTGTGCAGCTCTGTTGTTCTAAAATATTTTATTGGTTTTCCTTTATATCTCAACTTTTGATGGGTGTCCTTGAAGAACTTTCATGAAAAAAATGTAAATGTGAATGATTCATTCATTTTGAACATATGTAACTATTTTAGGAGATTTTCAGGAGATTTTACCCTACATGGAGTACACTGTTCTTAGCAGGGAATGTGCTTTGTATTACTATTCTACTCACAGCTGGATGCTGCAGATGTATTAACCTTGTAAACATGTACTTTTTCTATTCTGTGCTTACTTTAATACATTATTTATATGTATTAGACTGTGCTGAATTTTGGTGGTTGTCAAAGGCAGTCAATAATTTTATAAATTTCACTTTTGTGGATAGTTAAGTATAACATGGTTTAGTATAAAATCTGGTCTTCCTCTAGATTTCTAAGTCACTAGAAGAATTTCTTGGCAAATTGATTGTTCAAGGCCAGTTTTGTTAGTTGTAAGGTAGAAGCCACCCAGTCCTCTCCCAGTGTTTCACAGGCATTTTCAGACCCGGATGCTATTACAGTTCCTCCTCTAGTTTTCCAGTAGAGAATTCCTATGTGGTCCAGAGGTTCGAGAGAGAGTGAAAAAATTTCTCCTCAGAAGAATTGAACCCTTATTTTAGAAACTTCTGACAATCTTCAGAACATTCCATGTGGGTGTCCTTGTGTTTCTCATAGTATGACTTATTGATTCATGGTGTCTCTTATTAAAGAAGCATGAATGTATCACTAGCTGTTATCAGAACAAACAGCTGTAGAATGTAATGACCCATCCTATTTCTAAATTTACTTCTATCAGTGGATAATTTGTGTATAGGAAAAGGTGTGGAAGTTTTTTAATTGTTAAAAACTAGAATACCTTTCTACCTTTTGTAGTCTTTAAGATTTCATAATAATGGTTTTAATGTATTACTCTCCACTATTATGTATTGTGTTTAAACAAGACCAATCAGTGAAATTTTGAATGTCAATACTTTTTTTTGTTAGAAACGCCCTTTGAAAATGTTAGAAAATGTAAAACTTTACCTGTGACAAAGAATAAATTCATGATTAGAAGAATTATACTGTTTTTCTTGTGCAAATAATACTTAAGGCAGATGTTCAGTCTCACAGTGATGTTGGAAAGCATATTTTATGCAGTCTAAACACTATTTCTGTATTAGATATTTAAATGCATGAGGATAAATTCTAATTGCTTTTTGTTTAAAACAGAAACATAGAAGAAGCATTAGCCCCAGTTTGTATAAAATGTCTGCTGCAACTGAATTCATGATAGTTCATGAAAACTGAAAATCATTCCAATTTTGTAAAACTGCTGCTACTGGTTTTATCAATAAAGTTTTAGCAGATGGCTTATATGTACATGTGTGAAAATTTTTTATGTTAAAAAAGGATACAGTTTTGCAGCATCAACATGCAAATCTTATGGGCCTGGATGATACTGCTTATTTTAGTATATACAAAAACCATTAACTTCAAAACCGTACCAACTACAGACATATATTTTAGAACTATAAGCATTACATGTATGATCCATACAGTTCATTTGGTTTCAGAGTGCTGTAGGCTTTTATGGTGAACACATATACAAATCAACATGTATCAGTTCAAATGCTGGCTTGAACATCAGGTAAGGAGCTATATAAATGTAAGGATCACCTGAATTAATTAAATTGCATCTAAAGAGGATTCTGAGAAGGCAAAATGCAAAGTGTAGGTGTTCATGTAGAAAAGTGTATGTAATTCCTCATTAGAGAAGCTCTTCTCCAGAGCACTTTCCCCTCTATGAATACCCAGTTCTCGTAAGTTTGCAAGGCTCAGATGCAACAAGCTAGAAGTAGAGGGAGCTGAGCTATATATTCAGACACCTACATAGCACTCAAAACATGGCTGACATCCCCCAAACAGAAAAGCATAGAGAAAAAATTCTATAGATGATTCAGTGACAATTTTTAAACAATTTTAAAATTCTGTATTAGTTGAGGTAATGTTATCTGTTGTAATAACCCAAAATGTCAGTTGATTCACATAAGAAAGGTTTATTTCTCCCTAATCTGGGATGTTTTTGGCCAATCAGCTTTCTTTCTAGCAGTATCTCAGGGGTTGAGTCTTCTTTTGTGATTTGGTCATTCAGAGTCCTTATGGACTTTGAAGGAATGTATTGCCATACAAATGGGGGAGGAAGAAAAGACATGAGGATCGAATGATGTGTTTTAGGGGACAGGCTTAGAGGTGCCGCTCTTCACTTCTGCCCAAACTCCATTGACCAGAACTAGTCCAATGGCTCCACCTATATTTAAGAAGGCTGGGAATTGTAGTTTATTTTTATACCCAAGAAAATGAAACAGTATCGGTAAGACTCTTGTTAAGGCAGTATCTGGCATACTTACATTTAAAAAAATTATTTGAAATGTTGTGGTACTGGTGATTATTTACAAAAATCTTGCCAATGACAAACTTATTGGTTGCTTAAGTTCTTTCTCACCCACGACAGCACTAGAACTCTATTGGCTGATTAAGGGTTCTACTTCTGCTTGTATATCCATAGTCACCTTAGATTTAGACCATTTCAACACTGCGAAGGAGCACTCTTGCAGAGAAAGACCATTTGAGTTCACATTTCCGAAGCCACAGGGCAAAGAGTTTTGAGCTGGTAGGCTGAGCAAGGTTGACCATTTCTACGTGTGTATGTGCACTAGTAGATACATACATATATGGCATACTGGAAACATTAAAGCAAATATAACTATGAGCAAAGGAAGAATAATGCAGAGGAAACATTTTTCCATATATGAATCTTAGAGTATGTCATCTGGAGAGCTTAAACTTGGCAAATGATTGCTATCTTGTGACACTGCTTCAACACAGGCTTACCTGTGCTGAAATGTTAAAATAATTGAGATAGCCATCTATGACTCTGGTTCTTTGGTTCTTTTTTTTTTTTGTCTTTTGTAGTAATTAAAAAATTATCCTGTGTAGCATTTTATTGATAAGTCAAATAAGTCAAATCACATGATATATATTGTAAGCTTCATAGTCTCTTTACAGTTTCCCTGGGGTTGCCCCAGAAAGATTCAGAAATATGGCCCAAGGGGAAGCTTGGGTGACATTTCACAGTGCTGATAAATTTTAATGTGCATTCCACTACATAATAAAACATCTGATTCTTTTCAGCAAACAGATAAGAAGTAGGAGACAGGATTGGCATTGTATCTACGGTCATCTCAAGGAGGGACAAGATTGAGTGGTGAGAAGATTAGAATTTGGATAAATTCTAAGGTAGGTTTTATGGAATTTTAATATGTATTTTAAAATCCAAAATTGTTTAATGAAAGATTCGAATCTTACAAGGAGAATTGCAGAATTTATCAAATTATATCTGCAGACATAAATAACCTAGTCAAGATTAAAATCATACCTGTTTTCTAATTCCAGTTATGCCATCAAGGAATCCTGTGATCTTGGATTACCTTGACCTTTCTTTTGTGTCTTCCAACATCTGTTATATCTTGAGGTGGTCCCAGAGGAGGAGGGGATTTGGCAATTATTTGTTAAGTTAAACTGACAATAGAATAGATTTCCTAGGCTATTCAGATAAAGTATAACACTAGACATACCGTCCATACTGGTCAAATTAGCTAGCTGCTCCCAAATACATTTTTTTCTCCCTAGAGGTATAGCATGTGATTATGGAGGCTGCTTTTACCTGAGGTAGAGGAGTATTTTAAGGAAAAATGAAACAGTTCATCTCAGAGGACTCACAACCACTTTAGAGGGTGTGGAAAGACGAGAATTAGGAAAATATATAAATGACTTTAGGTGAGTATTTCCCAATACTATTAAAATGCAGTTAGTGACCTTTATAAGATGTTTTGAAAAGGGGAAAAAAGTGTCGCTTTATAAACACAATGTCTCGTTAAGGGAATAAAACTATTTTCTGTATAATAGACTTTCCCCCAGCCCCCCTCTTGTGCTTGAGTAACTTTAAAGACAGCAACTAGTGGCTGCCTTCAAGGTTAGTATAAGTTCATGAACTGATAGCTCCGTAGCTAAGGTGAAAACAGGGACTTCAAACCAGGCAGGTGGATTCATCTATTCCCATGTGTTCTTGGTTACCTTTGATGTACCAGGCATTGTGTGCTAGACACTGGGGACACGGTGTTAACCAGGTGCACTAGCTTAAAATCTGGTGTGATGAATATTGTGAAATAGGATTGGTAGGGTGAATTGGGAACGTAATTAAGGGGCTAATGTAGTCGGTGGGAGGCTGTCAGGAGAAGAGAAGCTGCTATGAGGAAGTGGTATTTAAGCTGAGACGTGAAAGCTGAGTAGGAGTGAGCCAGGTAAAAGGCAGGCACATTAAGAAAGAAGAAACAGCATGTACAAAATACCTTAGGCAAGTGAGACCCTTCCATATTCAAGGAAACTGAAAAAAGTCCAGCGTGACTGGACCTTAAAGAGCAAGGAGGAGAGTGTTTTGAGATGAACTGGACGAGAAGACAAGGCTGATTGAGATATCAGCTGCATCTTGCCCTTATTCCAACTAAGAAGGAAGTAGCAGTGGTGTACTTCTGGCTAAGACCATCTCCTGGATTTGAAGTGTACCCATCCCAAAGCCCGCTGTCATACCCGATAGCTGAAACTTTATCATCAGATCTTCAAACCACTGTGGCTTATGATTACTTCTTCAGACAGTTCGGTTTTAGGTTGCCAGCTTTTTAAATCTTAGGGCTAACAAACTGTTAGCTTTGCCGCAGGTGTTCAGTAGGTGCTGAGAGAGCAAGCAGGGTGACCTGAGAGTGGTGGGGCCACTGGTGTAGTCCCTTCAGCCTCACAGACAGACAGCCACCACAGGAATCAATGTAATACTGCACAGCAGCCGTGCCCTGGCTCCAAAGACGGCAACTTTTCTTTCTAATTGATTCCCAGTAGTGCTCTCTTCCTTCCAGGCCCTGGCATGACTCTACAGGGAACCAGGGAAGCGATGTGTCTCTTCTTCGGTGCGATTCTCCCTCTGAAGATAGCTTTGGACAACATTTCTCTACTAGATTTTTCATCTTCCCTTATTCAATTTGGCTTACTGGCTACCCAAATTGCCCACTTTGATGTTCTAATTATCCCCCATCCCCAAGAAAACAGTCCTATTTAACAACAACAACAACAAAAGCAATGTAAAACATAAAAACATAGCTTGAGTGAGATATGAAAAATTATGCAACCAATTGGGTAAATTTATACTAAAGTGTACATGTACACTAAAGTATACTGAAGTGCTAAAACACGCACACCTCTAGTCTCCTTTGTAAAAAATACCTTTGCTCTTCTGCATTTTCATTTTAAAGAAGTTTACATGTTGGCCTGATGTTTTAATTAGCTGTTGGACCAAAATGAAGACTTTCTAATTGTGTGAAGGACGTGTTTTAGACCACAAGAACATTTTTTTACTTAATCTGAGGCACCCTGCCAGTAGGCAGCCACAGACAACGCCAAAAGGAATGAGACTCTGGGCTGATTTTTATGGATTAGTTAATATATCCCTCCTCAGAATCTATCAAGTGCTCAAACCTGCAGACACAAACACGAACATACTAGGGAGGAGAGTCCCAGAAGGCAGAATATCCCGTACTGCTCTTCCCCAAACGCCTCACCCCGTCACACCCACGAACTCATCCGGTTCTCCCTTCTCAGCGCCCTGCTCCAAGGCGAAGAGTATCCCAGAGGAAGCATCAGGGTCTAAAACAACAACAACAACAACAACAACAACAACAACACTGAGCCAAACACTGCTGCTTCCTCAGTCGATGAAAGTGCCACCCCACCTCTCTCCCCAAACCCAGCCTCCGTAGGGGACATCGAGCCTTCAAGGGCTGCAGCGAGTGACCTGCCGGTGGAGGCGCGGGGCCGCTCACCTACCCAGGCCCGTGGCTCTCGCCCCGCCCCAGCCTCCCAGTCCACTCCGCCAGCCCCAACTTAGGCGAGCGCAGTCGGGACCCCTCTGTCGGGGCTCTTTGTTCGCCGCCCCTTGGCGTTCCAGAGCTCAACCTTGCTCCCAGCAGCCCCCGCCAGCGCACTCGACCTACAGGAAAGTTGCTGCCGAGCTGTGGAGGGGCGTCATCGCCTCCTAGCAACGCTCCTAGCAACCGGGTAACATCTGCTCCCTGCGGTCCAATGCGAGCGGAGAACAGCTGCGCGCCCGCCTAGAGCTGCGAACCGGGAGTGAGAGGCGCTTCAGAGACTGGAGGGACGGACCTGCAGGAGCCAGGGCTGCCCGCTGAGCTGCAGTTGCCGCTGCTGCCGCTGTCAGTGCCCGACTGAAGAGTGACAGCCGCAAAAGCAGGAGTGAGCACCGAACCCCGCGCCTCTACCTAACAGGTGCATGCGCCGATCTGGTGAGTGGACCCAGCTCGCAAGGTATGTCTGGACCCATCCAGCCAGGTGCTTTCCTCCGAGCTCACAAGAGACTCCTTTCCTTGAGGGGGAGGATAGGGACGTGTTCCGGGATCCCACCCCGCCCCCAGTCATTGAAGAGTGGCCAGCTGCTGGTCCCAAATGACCTGATTTGATTTTTTAAATGTAAACCTTGGGATTGGTTCTTGGGTGAAGATTCCCTTGCTCTTCGCTATCAGGTTAGCGTTCGGAAGTTTTCAGTCCTTGTTTATCCTTTGACTTCGCTGCCTATATGCGGCTAGGCTGGAAGCAGCAAGCGCCCATAGAAAGCCTGTGGTTAAAGCTCAAACGACATAGTGTAGTCTTGACTAATTGAATCAACACGTATGGATAGCAACATTCTTTTTAGGTCCTCCTCTGGAAAGGGTCCATTTGGCCAAGAGCAGCCGTTCACTGTTACTCAACCTCCTGAAAAGTAACCATAGTAACTCACCTCTCTTTTGATGGGATCTTCCTTATTGGCTGCCTATCTTCCTTTGGAAAGCGCATCTCTCTAAATTTAGAAGATGATGAGATCCGTAAGCATACATCCATGTAGAAAAGGTGCAGTTAAACATGGCCCTTTAAAGAAATGCTGTCTTCAAAGAAAAAGTAGCATTTGGTGATTTCAAATCTTGTGAGAAAGAATGTGCATTCCAAAGAAAGACTGGGTTCGTCTGTTTAGTTAACTCCTGGTTTGTTACTTTAGAGGGAATACTTCCTGAAATTACATAAAATCTGGCATTAAAACTTAAGAATGACTCTGATTTTTTTTTTTTAAATCAGCGTACTGATAATCTTCCAAAAATAATCTCCCAAGTAAATAACCGGTAAGATGAGTTATTCAGTTATTTCCAAATTTCTTAGGATAGTTAAGATTTCTCATGTTTAAACTTAAATCTGGAGAACACTGAAGTGATTGTAGTGTGTTTGAAGGTTTATCTATCTATCTAGTCCAGACCAACCCCATCTCAAAGATCTTAGATAGTATCCTCCTGTTGCAGGCTTTCTCCTGACTTGAGAACCAGTTCATGTCAGTGCAGTCCTGACTCGCCCGATGTTATTTGTGTCTGTCTCCTTGTTTCAAGATCTCAGGTAACCATTCATGAGCCTGAGGCTGTGAGAAATGCTCGCTGTGCAAAGGGGAACTCTCAGCAGATTTTCTGAAACTGTTCTAGAAATACACTTTTCGGATTGATTCAGCATTACCAGGTAATTGCTAGCTTAAAAGAAATTACTGTTTAAATATGCATCCAGAGAAATGAATGCTAATGTAGCATTACCATAACTTACAAGATCAATATAAGGGGTTGTTTATATAGATGGTTGCTGGGTAGAAGTCAATAGAGGTTTTCTGTAAAAAGGACATTTGTGGGCTGGCAGATTTTCCTCTCTAAGACCCATGTGAATAGGGCGGGCCAAATTAGGTAGCCTGGCTCCGGGAACATGCCAAGCGGAAGCCTACTGAGCACACGAGTGCCTGTTTGAATGAAGGAAGTGAAGAGAACTCTCCAAGTTGCAGAAAGAGATTATTGTGATGCTTCAAATTTAATTTGCATAAGGTCGTGATGATACAAACCTCTGAGGGTTCAACATTTTAAACTCAATTTTCAAGACTGAATACATCTTAAATGAGTGTTCAGTCCTCCAGCATTTGTAACTTTCACATGTGCTGTGCCCTTTCCGTAGGTAACCAGCCTAGCAAATAACAATCAAATTTATAAGAATAGACCATGCTGCATTTCATCCCATTTCTTTCCTCCCTTTATAAAAATAAATAATTTACAATTTTTATTCAGAAACCTATTTGAAAATTTATTCTGGTCTAGTGGTACAGATTTATGAATACCATGAGACTTTAAGATTATTGATCTCTGTAGCCACTTATTTAAATATCTGTAGTTTAATCATTTTAAGCATTAAAGATTAGCATTTGAACTGTCAAAAATGTTTGTTTTGTTAGCCGTTAGCACCATCCACCCTTCTTACTTCATTTATCATACTGACTGTATTTTATGAGGAGAAACAACCCAAGGAGACCAAAAATATTTACTGTCATCTGCCATGAGATGTATACAGAGTTCCACACCAATTTTTATTTAAGGATCTAGTCACCCTCATCAATCTGAACACCAGCTGCACTTGTATATGTAATGGGTTATAAAGAGGGCACGCACTTAGGAGTATAAGATTTGGATAAGGCTGAGATCAAGCAGATTAAAACTAAATCAAATTATAATTTCAGTCTTTTTTACTCATATACTCTATTTGGAAGTTTTTAGGTATATGTGAAAAATTCTATGTTCAGTTTTATGTCATGTAAACTTCATGGAATTTAGAAGATGCTTTGATGCACAGAGAGATGTTGAAAACTTTTATCAAGAGGTTGAGGCCCTTCCCTCCATACCTGGGCTCTCTACTGATGACTCATGTCAGCTGGCATCCCAACAGTAACTCTAAAGCCAAGGAATAATCAGTTCGGATTGCTCTGTTTGTCAAAGCAATATGCCTCAGAAACCTAGAAAAAGTGAAACTGCTAACTCTGAAGCAGAGGTAGGAGTATATTGACCACAACTATTCAGCACTAAAATGAAGGAAGGATACTTTTGAGTTTTGGGAGAAGCCAATCCTTGTGGATTTTTTTTCCTTTTTCTTTTTAAGTTGTTTATCAAAATAGTGTTAACACATTAATGTTTACCCTTTGCAATGTAACACCAGTTTTTTTATATTTTCTTTTTTTCTAATTAAGTTTATACAAACGGGCTAATAATAAGGCCATCCAATTCACTGCAATAATTCTCAGATGGGGTGAAGGGGTGGTGGAAGGATATTACTGAAAAGCGCTAAGAGCTAACCAGTGTTGTACTCAATATTGTAATATAGCCTTATATTTAGAAAATAAAATAATGACAGAAAGTAAAGTGCAGCAAGAAGACTTCTTGGTAGAAATACGAGAGTTATCTAAATATCAGTGGTGCGTAGAAGGACAGGAGGAACAAGTTTGAGGCTGGGAAGTCTACTCTGCATGTGTATTTCAGAGTATATATTATTTTCAAAGTGCTTAGGAAAAGGGAGCATGAGTAAGGAACATGAAGAAAAGTTGGGAATATCGTAAAGAGAGTCAAGACTCAAGAGCCTAGAACCTCAATTCTGCCTCCATGTGCTGCTCATTTTACTGCTTTGTGGCTCATTTTCTCTCTATCTAATGTGTGGTATAAGACTACAAGCTTAAGTAGATTGCTTGAGCTTGAACATCACACAATTTAATGAAGCATCTATAGCTCTTTAGGAAAAACTTATTTTATATTCACGGGTACATGTGCAGGATTGTTACATGGGTGAATTGTGTGTCACTGGGGGTTTGGTCTACAGATTATTTCAACACCAGGTAATAAGTGTAGTACCTGAGAGGTAGTTTTTGTATCCTCACCCTCCTCCCTCAGGTAGGCCCCTGTGTCTGTTCTTTGTGTTCATGTGTACTCAACGTAGCTCCCACTTATAAATGAGAGCATGCAGTATTTGGTTTTCTGTTCATGTGTGAGTTCTGTTAGGATAATGGCTTCCAGCTCCATCTATGTTGATGCAAAGGACATGATTTCATTCTTTTTTATGGCTGTATAGTATGGCTGTGCACTATTCCACGGAAGCACCTATAGCTCTTTAGTGAGAAGGTACCCTGTGAACGAAAATTATTTCACCACTAGAGCTACTCCAGGTGAAACACAAATCAGGTACCATATGAGTGAGGGCAGAGAGCCACCCAACTCCAGGCAAATCCTCATGTGTTTTAAAGTGAGTAAAATTAAAGATTAGTTCAATCTTATGGTTTTTTTATACCTTCATAAGGGTTTTTTATCCCTTCTGGGATAGCAGAAGCAACATTGGCCCGGACAGATGTTTTTGTTAATATACTGAAGCATGGAGTGGTGGTGGTGGTGATATCAAAGTGGAAGACAATGTGAGTGATATAGATCAGGTACTTTTAGAAAGGCCACTGTTATCTATAGGTTAGGGATTAAAAGTCTTTTCTTTGAGTACCAGTCCTGGGTATTGAGGGAAGTTGTAGTATCTCTGTAGCATATCTCTAGGTATGGATTTCTTGGAACCCATATACTGCAATGTGGTTCCAAAAAAGCAATTTTCTTTCTAATTCATTTCTACTTTCCAAGGTAAAAGATGGGGTAAAATGGAACATCATTCCTCAAAATCAGGAATCCACTTCTAGGCAGTGGAAAATCATGACGTTTACTCGAGAAGCCTCCTGCATTTGGCCTCTGTCATTAGCGGGGCAAGATCACGGCAGCAATTGGCTTTAGTGCAGCATCTAAGGAAACTTAATGGTGTTCTGTTTGGTTCAGAGACCATTACCATGGGAGCAGGGTAGGCTTGTGGAACTGGTGGGGTTTTCTTTACTATTCCATGCCTGTGCTTGGGGTTATCCCAAGGGACATGGATGCAATCTAGTACCAAACAATGCTGCTGGTATCTTGAGAAAGTCTTCTAAGTCATTGGCATTCATTTTTCCTGGAAGTTCATAAGAAAGTCTGCTAGGAGCTGGAACTTGTTGGTAATTCTAAACTGCCAGTAAAGTCAATATTGTGCTTGGGGTGGATGATGAATCTGAAGAAACAGATTGCTCCATTGATTCGGAGGTAAAACCTGGCACTGAGTTCCGCTACCATAAAGGATATTATCCAGAAAGGTGCTAGGCAAGGGGGTTATGAGAGAGAAGAAAGATGGCTGATGGAATATTGTTAAACATCAACAGAGCCAAAGGTCTCCAGAAGGCACAGAATCATAGCCTTGAACTTTGCACCCATCTCCCTTCTTGAATACATTCGTGAATGCTTCATGCAGCCCGTGCTTAGCACTAAAGAGAGGACCAATGTGCTAGGTATACTATAATGCTGCTGAGCAGGATATGTACTTATGATTTCAGAATGAAGTCACTGCAATAATAATACATAACATTTATCGAGCAGGAAATATGAGCCCATGCGACAGGCACTGAGTAACTGCTTTTTAAACATCATCTCTTCCAATTCCAGTAAAACTCAATGAGTTGGATATTGTTCCCCCATTTAACAGTTAAAGAAAAGTTAGGCTCTTTGAGGTTAAATATCTTGGCCAAAGTCAGTAAACAAATAAACTGTAGAGCTGATATTTGAACTAGGGCCATTGGACAGAACTAGAAGGTTATGCTGAAGTCTTTTAAGCCATGCAGCGAGACTGCAGAATATGGTTAGCAGGGACAGATGGGGTAACTCTTTCTAATCGACTGTGGTCATGGCCCTTAAGGAAACATCTCTAGTAGCTTTGCCACTAGCAAAGCATTATTTAGCTAAATAGGGACCATTGCGCTTTCAAAGGCTCATGCCAGGCTAACATGTTACAAAGAAAAATCAGCAAGAGATTGTGAAGCTGAGGTGCCTGATTTATCTATAACACAAGTCAGTTGTTGATCTGAGATGGAACTAACCTTCTTTCTCCTCATTGATCAGCCTCCACCCCTTCTATCTGTGGGTAGGATGCACACATCTAATAGGGCGGTTTCAACTCTGTTTTTGGAATGTTTTGATTTAAATTTTGTGGGGAGAAAAATGAAAACCAAACTAAAATTAAGATATACTGAACTCATCACTTCTTCACCATGTCTCCAGCTTTTCAGTCTTGGATAAAGAATGGACTACTTTGACAGGAGTTGTTCTTTTTACGGTGGTCTGTTATCTCAAAGTGTTTGTAAATTAATTTGCTCATGATGTTTCCTTAATATACTGTCCCCGGGCCGTGTACCAAATGAAATCACCTGCACCATAATAGGATTTTAGTTTTCTGGAGGCAGAAGCAGAGCAATAAGGAAGAGCATTTGAGCAATCATTTGTAATTACATTTTAGACATTTATTTAAAGAATTACATATCAATTGTATTGCTAGAACTCTAATGACAGGGATGGTCACTCTGTTCCGTAACTTTTAATTTGTTGGTTATTGATGTTTTATACTACCAAAGACACTGAGCCTGGCACAGATATTTTATGGGCCCAGAGGATATAGCATTAGAAACAGCTTGAATATTCAAGCCAGCATTAGCCATTTCACTTTCAGAGATAAATTTAGGCTCAGCCTAATTCAGTTTTGTAATTTACATACTGTTCTCAGAGCTCAGAACACTCAGAATAAGAAGACATAAAGTCATTTCATTTTTTTCTTGTCTATTTTGTCATCTTTATTTGAATAATAGGCTGGGCTGAGTTTGGCCTTTTAGTTGCAGGAGAACTATAACAGATTTACACATGTTTACTGAATCATAACAACTAAACTTCCTTGGACAGTCAGGTCAGCTTTAATTAATTATCCAGATGATTATCTGTATGTTTCAAAAATAGTTTACACGTCCTTCACCCAAAATGCATGACCAATGGCAATACACCAGAGATATTTGGAGTTGTTATAGAATCAGTACTACTTTTTTTTCAACTTGATCATTTGCAACATCTTCTTGCAGTTTTTTAACTTGCTGACTACAATCTAGTATTTTTGGGAGGCAGGGTGGTGGAGTCTTTGAGTCAGAGCTAGGAGGCCAGGCTGGGCTTTGTTTCTACGTGGTATATTTGTGACTAATGGCACAAATAAGGTCTACAATTTGATTGAGTATTTACTATATGCTAGGCACAGTGCCAGTCACTTTCTATGAATTATTTCAATGATCTTATGAGCCAGTGTTATTTCTATCCTTACTTTACAAATGAGATTTCTAGAGAGTTTATGTAATTTGCTCAAAGTCACACAAATAAGAAGCAGCAGAGCTGGAATTCAGGCCACTTCCATCTGACTTCAAAACCCAAACTCTTAGCCACATACCAGAATGTAAATTGTTGAACTCGTCTGAGCTGTAGTTTTCTTATCTGGACACTCAGGAGGCTCAATCAGATGATGGATACATAGTTATCAGCTATGAATTTTTTGAATTCTAATCCAGCCAAGCAAACAGATGTAGGAACTTACGTTTGCTATATATTTTAACCTAAAAGTGGCTAGAACCATCCTCCAAAATTGATACTGAAAACATTTTAAATAGCTAAACAGCTTGCAAAGAGGTAATTGTCAAACTGATACCAGCTGTGAAGGCTTTTCAGCATTTTTAACAACCCATGGGGGTATTTTTTAAGAGCAATAAACTAAATGGCTAAGTGTGTTGCCCATGGAGGAATTGAGACTCAAATCTAGAATTCCTGAGAATTTTATCTGTATTTTCAGGATCTGATACATTCAGTATCTTAGGCTAACTGGTTGATGATAGCCAGACAATCTTTATGAACCTTGGAATCATTTGATACGATTTTTTAAAATCTTGATCTGTTAAATAAAAATATCTGGCCTGGAGGTGCACTTGGGAGCCAGAACTATAAGTTTGTCATTTGGTTCTCTAATCTGCCACCTGCCCTCCCTTGTATCACTCATTAAAAGATTTTTAATTGGTCGTAAATGCTGTAGATATTGCATTACATGGAAGATAAAATGAGCAGACATTTAAAAAAGATACATATAAGAAAGTCATGTTTGCTTATAATAAAGTTACTCATCTCATTTTCTAGTCTTTCCTCACTGTCACCTACACTATAGTAATTCATTAGAACTTGTTAAAAAAATTAGTGACCTGCCCAGGTATAATGCTAATAACAGCCATTGATGCTTCTTAATGTGAACCCAGGAAAACTGACTTCATTCTTCACTATTTAGTTAAAATGCAGTCTGGCTTTGTTCATGAGACTAAAGCATCTAAGCCAGTGTAGGGAAGCAACAGTAACAATAACAATCAATCAAGCCAATTGCCTGACATTCTATTGATATGGCAATCAGCTGATTGACTGACTGTTCTGCTCTTAACTTGTTGCCATAGTGCTACTACTACACCTGCTGAATGCTGCAAACGAGAGGCTCTCAAAATGCAATCCCCAGACCAGCAGTATCAGCATCACCTGGAAATTTGTTAGAAATGCAAATTCACTGCTCCTAGTCCAGATCTACTGAATTAGAAACTCTGGGGGTGGGACCCTCAGAGTTTAACATACCCTCCAGATAATTCTGATGCTCACTAACATTTGAAAACTACTATTACATCAATTAGCTAAACAGTTTAAAAAGAAGTAAGTACAAGTAATTGTCACATGGGATAATCCAAAGCTTCACCTAATTATTTGATTAAATCCTTAAAATATATACCAAAGAAAATGCAGTTTACTAAAAAACAGTCCCTGAGAAAACTGGTTTCTTTGTTCTCTATACAGTTTTGTTCTTCTTATTTCCTAAACGTTTGAAATCAGTGAAAACTCTACGTAAGCTGTGTTTGCTTACTGAATTCAGGGATTGTGTAAGTATAGTAGCAACTATTGTCTTTGCTTCAGTTCAGTTGTGAATTATCATGACATACTCATTTCTTTTAAGATCAGATACACCAGTGTTTTAAAATTCTTCATTCCGTTAACAAAATATAACAACTCAGACTTAAGGCTCTCTTTGGTTAATAATCCACAGTGACGCCAGTGAAAAATTGGACTGCTTGGGAGTGATTTTGTAGCTTTTCTTACTGACTGAGGAAAATCATATAACTACAAAAAGTTGCAGGAAGCTTTTGTCGCTCAGATGCCACTGAGTTGGAGGACAAACTAGAAAAGGCAAAGTCTTGAACACATTTTAAATATTTAAGCTTAGAAAAATTTAAGATTTTAGAGGAAAACCATCAAATGTCTTGCTGTAGATTTATTTAACTAACACATAAATTATTCATTATTTTGTGAACTAAATGGTTTCAACACATAGAAATATTTGACGGTGTGTATTAAGAGTAAAATAAATTATGTTTAAATATGAAGTTTCTTTCTGGCCTGGTCCCCTGAGGTTGAATGAGTATTGAACCGGACTCAATTTGTTTTCTAAATTCATTCAGTGCTTTCTCTAGGAAGCTGCTTGTCTTTAGCTTTTAGAGTGGATCTTGCCTCCTTTTTGTGATATGAGTGCCACCTAGAGTACACTCTGGGAACTCCCTTAAGCACTGCCTTTAAACTGAAGGATCACTGAAAATTGGCTTCTGGAACTCCGTCCTTCCTTAAACAACTCAGAACCTCGGTAGCAACAGTATTTTAAAGGAGAAAACAAAGGTCTTCACTTTCAGTATTATGACAAGGCCAAGTCTGCAAATCAGAACCTTACCTAATTCTTTCATTTACTTAGAACATCCATTAAATCATGTGTTAGGATGATGGCTATACCATATCATAGAGTGTTTTGTCTATGGATACACTGTTATTTCTTTAAAGTGTAATTGGGCTACCAACTATTTTATGCCAATTTGATTAACCTAGTAACACTAAATGTCCTCTCTATATTGGGCAGTTTAACTGAAAGAATGATGAAAAATTTCTTATCTCCTCCCATTACATTCCATTTCAAATTTGGGTGTGTTTTGACATTAAATGGCATGAAATAAAATAGTATATTGGTATTTGATTTCTGAGGGGCTGCATAAGGAAATAAAGATTGGTATCCTCTCTAGAACATCTAGTTTGGGTCTGGATGGTGGTATTTTCCTGTCTGCCGGCTTTTCAATCACTGCTTCACCACGTTGAAGGGAGAACACCAATTTCCAGGATCACCAGTTTATTTTCATAGATAAAATTTATATTATAAGATACCATTTGCCACAATAAAATCTGACCTTTCCCCAATTCTTTTATGTGTTTAGCTTATCCAACAAAAGTATTAACATATACATTAACAACGTCGAAAGTAGCCTACTTTAAGAGAAAATATGCAGAAGAAGAAGATTTACATCAAGATTACCATGGGTATTTTCCAAAAGTAAGGGTTTATTTATTATTTTTTTTCATTTTTATGAGTGTTGTCAACAGTAAAAAGCTGTAGTTTTTGTTTTTCTAAATATAGATTTAATGATCATGTTTGCTTTCCAGCACCTGATATTACCTGAGGACAGAACTTGCATTCTCAAACTTTCTCTGGAGAAGCTCAGGTTTCTTGAAGACCCAGAAACCTACTTAAGAAGGTCTGTGTTAATTAACAATTTGCTGAGGAAGATACATCTAGAGACGGAGAAAGAGAGCTATGAATACTTTAAAGAAGCTCCCTGTTATAAGACTGCATATTCTGATACAAGAAAACGGCTGAAGTTTATGGTACAAGAATGCTGTTCTCAGTCTCTCTATTATGAAGAGCTGCATTCGTATCATATTGTGCCTTATGCTTCGGAGAATGCCATTTATGAAATGGGCTACACTAGCAGCCACTTGGAGCAAAATTCTCAGTTGCTTATTTATAAAATGAATTAAAGTAACTGTTAAGTCCATTGATACTTTGTTTCTAAATGCCTGAACTGTTTATAGTGAAGATGTTAATATAAGGCACTCATTACCAGTGCACTTGATATCAAAGATGAGATGCATGCTGAACTGATTGGAGAGAACAATGGTTATTACTCAGCAGTCCTTAGAATCATCAAATTGACTAGAAAATATGTTCACATATGATAAAGCGGTCAATTAGCGCTTTAGAAGCAAAGATTTTTTTAAAACATAAGATGTGTAGGAAGGGGCCTACGTTAAATAATTATGCAGGTGAAAAATTTTCTTTTACGCCCTGATTTCCAAATTCTGCCACTCTTACTGGAAAGTAATGAAAGTAACAGATTAAATTGATAATGCCATGTCCCTGAGGATGAAGGGTGGAACACATTTAATTTTCTGTAAATGACATGAGGAAGGGCTGGTTCTTTCTGAAGTGCTTTGACTTGTCAAGCATTGTGCCAAATAATTGTTTGATACCATTTTCCTTTCACCATTAATAGCAATTCAAGATGGGGCAAAGACACTGCAACTAAACTGCTGAGTGTAACGACCAGATTACTCCAAACTGATCCATTTTACTATTTTGTGGGGAGGGCTTAGACTTTTCTCTTTAAAAGTGAAATTTAACAAAATAGCCTTGCAGATGGGCTTATCTTTAAATTCTACAGGTTGGTTAAAATTTGTGGTGGGCCTTTAGTTAGCAGTTTAAGTTTTATTTATTTATTTTTTTTATAGGCTGTGAAGCTCAGGAAAAGGGTGGGGAGGTAAATTTGTTTTTAATGAGTTGATACTTTTTAGAAACCTTATCTGCAAAAATTAATGAGAACAACAAATTCCACATGATGTTATTTCTTCATCTAGCTAAGAGTACATTTAAGGCTGCCTGGATGAAACTTTGCACTGATTTTTGTATAATAGCTGATCATTCACTATTTGACAAATTGTTTCAGAATGCCTTTGGTGGTGAAGTTTAGATAAGTCCCTATGTTTTGCAATTTGACAGATAATTATTTAACAAGTTGGATAGATTCACGAAATTGTTTGAAGTAGTTCATACTGTTCTTTCAGGTTTGAGTGAGATGTCTGATTTCAATGTCTGAAGTTTTGTCCTATGGAGCGTATCATTTAAAGAATTGTCATTAACTGATAAAACAGATTGGAAAAACTAGGTGCCAAAGGTGTATTTAAGAAAATACCAAAGACTCAAAGATGAGTGTTAGGAAGATTATGATAATGAAGATGCGAATCTAAAGTAAGGATTGCATAGGACATAAGAAGAACATGGTTAAAGGGGTTTGGAATGATTTGCTTACCAATGTGCTTTCAGAACACTTTACACGTAATAATCATAATCAAGGGCACTGCTTTAAATGAAGATGCTACAGACCTTTAGGAATCATATGCCTTGGAAAAAAATCTATGTATGGTGACTTGTCAACAAAGTATCTTCCCTAGTTGGATGGCATCTTGTAACCAAGAAGACTTTCTTCTATTCAAGAGAAATTTGGTTTTAGTTTTGATTCAATACTTGGTCCCTCTAATTAATCACTGGGGTGATTAACATGAATTTAGTTGGTATAAAGAGTATTGGTTCCCTAATTAGCCTGCATTGTTGAAGACCACATAGATATATTATTGATAAGACTATGAGGCTTATGTTTAATTACTCAAAGTAGGAAGAAATGCTTTAGAAGAAACTAAAAAATTATAATTTAGGTTAATTTTTAAAGGCAATTTAGTATAAATGAGTTAGCTTTGAAATACAGATTTAAATGTTTAAAAATTAATTTGAGGGCAAGATTTGATACCAAAGTTTCAAAAATTTTATTTCACTGCTTATAAAATACTTAATCAGAACAGTTATTTAAAAAAATAAGATCTTATTTGAAAAACTCCAAATTTGATGGGATAGTTACACCATCATACAATTTTAAAGGTAGAATTAGCTTTCTAATACTTTAAAATATTTTCTGAAATGAGCATTTGACTTGGTTTAGGACAGTGTCTATAAGTAAAAGACACCAATGGTAACAGATATGACTTACAAAACTGCCACATATCGAAATTGATTGAGGACTGAAATACATATACTTTGGCATAGAGAAGAGAGGAAGAGAAAAAATATGAAAAAAGTGTGACATTGTAATATTTATTGTATTTAATAAATCTTGAAGAAAGAATTCTTGAGCAATGAACCAGTGACAGATATAAAAGCCTGTTTTATTTGATGACATCATTAACTGAGTTTTCTGATCTATACATTCATACATCAAGAAGGAACTGTCTTAAAAACCAGTGGGCCATTGGGTTTTTTTTTTTTTTTTTTAAGTTCTAGCATACATGTGCAGAATGTGCAGGTTTGTTACACAGGTATACACGTGTCATGGTGGTTTGTTGCACCCATCAACCTGTCATCTACATTAGGTACTTCTAATGCTATCCCTCCCCTGTGATATTTGTTAATATGCTTTTTTAAAAAAGTGTCTGCCTCGAAACAGGTAGTTAAAAAATATCTTGTAGGGCATTTAATTATTTTTTCCAAGAAACAACTCATAGATAAGGGGTTGACTAATGTTATCTCGATTTAGAAAATTTGTATGTAAAATGTGTAAACTTTTCTGGGTTAACTAATAGACTACCGGAATTTTAGCACGGCAAACTAATCTATAGGGAGACCCACACACAGGCTTGCTTTGCTGACTACCCAGCGGGCTTTGTTACAGGAGCTGCAAAAGGTGGAAGACCAGTTACAACTTTTTTTTTTTTTTTTTAAACCTGGACATCCTTTCTCTGGTGGCAAGAGCCATCCTTATGATAAGGAAGGTGAGAGAGAAAATGGAGAGCCTTTGGTAATGTTGATCTTTCTTGTGGGTGTCCAACTAGCCTCAAGGCCAAGTGAAGAAGAAAATAAAAAAGTAGAAGAGGAAAAATGAAGAAAAGAGGAAAAAGAAGGCAGGGCCAGAGAAGTAAACAGTAGGATTAGTAAGTGAAAGAAAAAGTTGCTTTGTTGTGTGGGGGGGTGTTCTTGCTTGCTCTACTCAATTTTGCTTTCCCGTGTCTGCTGTACACAGAACACCTGATCTCTGCAATGCATTGCTCCTTTCTTTCATTCACGTGTGATGAGTAAGACTAGATTCTTTTCAGCATATCTACTATTTGCAAAGTGTGAACACTGTAAAATATCCCTGAAACTGAGCTGTTTGGGTGGATAAGCAAAGGAAAAATAGAAAGTAATTAAGGTTAGGGAAAGGCTAAAGGATAAGCCTGTGTATAAATGGAAAATGGATAAGTTCAAATGCATTATCTGGTTTCAATGTAACACCCAAGATTTAACAAACTCAGTGCTAGAAGACTTGAAAATAAGTGCAATTTACTACCATTTATTGAGCAGCTGTTATGAGCCAGGCACTGTGCTAGGGCTGGGGATACATAAGTGAATAATGCACAGTCCCAGAAATCAGATTATTTGGTTTTGTTTTACCAAATCCAAATGCAGCACCTGCATTTCCCTTTTCCAAACTGGGATGGCTATCAAACATGTCTTTCAAAAAGTGTTTACAGGTGAGAAGATGCACAAGGTGAAGGAAAGTTTTCCTGACCCAGATCTTAGAAGGAAGGGAGAGGATACATTTTGCTTTACAGCATATTTACTGTTGGCAAAAAGCCACTATTGCCTAAGGGAAGTATGGCTGACCTTAGCCCATCCCTGGGGCATATCTCGTGGGTGTGGTAGGAGACCAATCAGGTAGGGAACAATTCCTTTTCCCCTTACCTATCTGGCTTCCGTGTTCTTTTATGGGACAAGTCAGATTAATATTAATGTTAAGGAGAGCCTTAAAGGAGAAAGAGAATCAATAAATCATAGCCTGAAAGTTGTGTATATTGTGTGCAAGGTCAGAGGGGCAGCCTTCTTTAATTTGCCTTGTGCTAGTGAATTGCTTGAATGAACTTCAGTATTTCTTAACACCAGGTACTGGAGCCACCTTCCTTCTCTCCCTGTGGTTTCCTCTTTAAATCACATCCTGACCCCAGTCTTTATAGTCCGTTGTAAGTGGAAGTTATAGTTCTATTCTTCACCCCCAGCTTGCTCCCTATCATTGATACTTAAGAGGAAAGTAACAATTTGCAGTACTGGCTGAACTCCTTTGGGAAAGTTTCTGGAGTGTATCAAATAAGAATTCATCATAGTAACATGGTCATTACTGGCTGAACAAAATTCTTTTTGAAACTATTGCACTTAGTCATTAAATAATTGTTTACTAAGGCAATCTTCATGTTTCTAGAATTCAGTGTAATAGTTAACAGTTGTATATGTCTCACAAAAGAAACTACTTAGGTTGGAAACAATGGAAGGTTGTGTAAAATTAATCAGGTCCTGAATATTTATGTAACATATGGCATTTTAACTTATATGTTCTCATTCTCAAACTTCATTACTATATAGCAGCAACAAGACAAATTTCAGGTTTTTTGTTTCTTTATTAAGTGGGCCATGTCTAAAAGTTGTTACATTCCTGATTGAATGTTATGGACAAAATTTCCCCATTAAAGTAGTTTTGTCTGTCTCGAGGATTATCCTTTAGGGTTGGGTGGATTAAAAACATTACATTAGTGCTTCTTGAGCTTACAAGTCACTAGGGATCTTGTGAAAATACAGATTCCTTTTAGTAGGTTTGGGATGAGGAATGAAGGTCTTCGTCTCTCAAATGTCCCAGGTGATGTGGATGCTGCCAATCCATCGACCACACTTTGAGTTGGGAGAGTCTACATCATTGGAGAAATATGCAGACTGAAGCCTATACTCTTAAACTTTCAAAGACTCTGTGTTCATGTCTGTGTTCTGCGGGATTTTTTTTCTTTTAAGAAATAAAATGCATGAAGTAAAATCAGAAAACCATAACACTAGTTTTCTAAATTTGCCACAAATATTATAATACTTTGCAGAGTAAAATGCAAAGATTATTCCTCTTACACTTTTTTTCTCTATATCAAGTGCAGGAAAGGAACATGGATAGAGTCATGTACCATTCTTATCAGTCAGGAGATGACACATGCAAATTTCTCTTCTTGATTTTCCTCTTGATTATATTCACATAAGGGAGCTCCATTTGGTAACAAAGATGAAATCCTGTTCACATTTAACAAGAATTTAGCAATTTCTTGCTTGGCAAAATCTGAGACAACCTTACAAAAACATCCTACATTAAATTCAGAATTTTGGATAGCTGCATAAGCTGAAGATTATGGAAAACCTGAGCTGAAAATGGCACCTGGATCTGTAACTTCTTGTCTTGAGCTCTTTTTTGAGCTTTATTCTGTGAGAGATCCTTCCCCTGCTGTAATTTTTCTATTTCTCCTCAGTCGCTGGGGTCTCAGTACGGGGTGGAGGATTGGTGTAAATGAGAGAGTCACATAAATTGTCTGATTTGAGCATGCCAAGTGATTTTTGTCAGGCTCTTTTGGTCATAAAATTTTGGTATAACTATTGTGAAATATAGTGTCATAAATTTGTCATAAACCATTAATGAAGGAAGAGAAGCAGGAATTTATTTCTGTGGGAATGCACTCAAATATCAAGCAGATGGTGTTCTACAACATTTATTTGGGAAAATGTGTATCTGTTACATAATCTAAAATATGTCTTTTTCACATTTAAAAATATTTGGGTCATGATTTAGAGTTTTTATTGGATTGTTTTTTAAACTGAGAGGAAGAAGAAAGGTAATTGTATTTTAAAACATTTGACATGTTACTAATAAAATTTTATTTCTGGTGAAATATAGGTGCCTTTGTTAAGTAGGGGAGGTGGGATCATGAACATCTGGCAGCTGCTGTATGTCCCTTATTTCCAGAGGCATCATTTTAAAGTCATATGCTTGTATTTCTTTCAGCAGTTTGTTTTCAGCACTGTTTGCTTAAGGATTTGGAAGATATTCCCAGTCTCCTGGCACAGCTTCTTCACTGAGTGACCCAGAAATGGTTTTTAGATAGTGCACGTCATTTAAAAGGACACAACAGAACTGACTCCTTTTAGGCATTTTTTAAACACAACAACTATAAATCTCAGGGTGAAAGATAGCTCCTCTATCCACTGAACAGCTGTGGGTGTGTGCATCATTCTCCATGATTTGTTAGGTGAACTGAGCATTAGATGAACTTGGATTCATTAGGTGAACTGGCATGCACCAGGGAGATAGTGTCCCTCTCTTTCTAGCAAACTTTCCATCAGTTTGCAAAGCTGATAAAGCTGATCTAGTTATCAGCTTTGCAAACTGATGATCCTAAGGGCCTCTACAAAACACTGACTCACGTGGGGCACCAGTGCCCATGTAGGTGTCTCAAAGCAAATAATCTTTTTCTGTGTATATCCAGTGTTTTAGTCTGTTCTCTCACTGCTAATAAAGATATACCTGAGACTGGGTAATTTATAAAGAAGTTTAATGGACTCATAGTTCTACATGGCTGGGGAGGCTTCACAATCATGGCAGAAGGCAAATGAGGAGCAAAGTCATGTCTTACATGGCAGCAGGCAAGAGAGCTTGTGCAGGGGAACTCTCATTTATAAAACCATCAGATTGCATGAGACTTATTCACTACCAAGAGAACAGTATGGGGGAAACGTCCCCCTCTGATTCCATCATCTCCACCTGGCCCTGCCCTTGACATGTGGGGATTATTACAATTCAAGGTGAGTTTTGGGTGGAAATGTGACCAAACCATTCCACCTCTGGCCCTTCCCAAATCTCATGTCCTCACATTGCAAAGCCAATCATGCCTTCCCAACAGTCCCCCAAAGTTTTAACTCAGCATTAACTTGAAAGTCTACAGTCAAAAGTCTCGCCTGAGACAAGGCAAGTCTCTTCTGCCTATGAGCCTGTAAAATCAAGAGCAAGTTAGGTACTTCCTAATACAGTGGGGGTATGGGTATTGGGTAAATACAGCCATTCCAAATGGGACAAATTGGCCAAAACAAAGGGACTACAGGCCCCATGCAAGTCCAAAATCCAGCAGGGCAGTCAAATCTTAAGGGTCCAAAATGATCTCCTTTGACTCCATGTCTCACATCCAGGTCATCCTGATGTAAGAGGTAGATTCCCACGGTCTTGGGCAGCTCCACCCCTGTGGCTTTGCAGGGTACAGCCTCCCTTCCAGCTGTTTTCATGGGCTGCCATTGAGTGTCTGTGGCTTTTCCAGGCACACAGTATAAGCTGTTGGTGGATCTATTATCCTGGGTTCTGGAGGACAGCGGCCTCCTTCTCACAGCTCCACTAGGCAGTGCCTCAGTGGGAACTCTGTTTGGGGGATCCAACCCTACATTTCCCTTTTGGACTGCCCTAGCAGAGGTTCTCCATGAGGGCCCTGCCCCTGCAACAGATTTCTGCCTGGACAACCAGGAGTTTCCACATGTCCTCTGAAATCTAGGCAGAGGTTACCAAACCTCAATTGTTGACTTCTGTGCACCCAGAGGCTCAACACCATGTGGAAACCACCAAAGCTTGGGACTTGCACCCTCTGAAGCAATGGCCTGTGCTCTACATTGGCCCTTTTTAGTCATGGCTGGGATGCAGAGCACCAACTCCCAAGACTGCACAAAGCAGCAAGGCCCTGGGCCTGGCCCACAAAACCATTTTCTCTTCCTAGGCCTCCAGACCTGTGATGGGAGGGGCTGCTGTGAAGACCTCTGACATGCCCTGGAGGCATTTTCTCCATTGTTTTGGTGATTAACATTTTGTTCCTCCTTACTTATGCAGCCAGCTTGAATTGTTCCTTAGAAAATGGGTTTTGCTTTTCTATCACATCATCAGGATGCAAATTTTCTAAACTTTTATGCTCTGCTTCCCTTTTAAACATAAGTTCCAATTCTAAACCACTTCTCTGTGAATATATAAAACTGAATGCTTTTAAGAGCACCCGAGTCACATCTTGATCACTTTGCTGTTTAGAAAATTTCTTCTGCCAGATGCCCTAAATCATTTTTCTCAAGTTCAAGGTTCCACAGATCTCTAGGGCAGGGGCAAAATGCTGTCAGTCTCTTTGTAAAACATAGCAAAAGTCACTTTTATTCCAATTCCCAACAAATTCCTTATCTCCATCTGAGACCACTTCAGCCTGGACCTTATTGTCCATATCACTATCAGCATTTTGTTCAAAGCCATTCAACAAGTCTCTAGGAAGTTCCAAACTTGCTCACATTTTCCTGTCTTCTTCTGAGCGTTTTGTTCAAAGTCATTCAACAAGTCTCTAGGAAGTTCCAAACTTTCTCACATTTTCCTGTCTTCTTCTGAGCCCTCCAAACTGTTCCAACGTCTGCCTGTTACCCAGTTCCAAATTCACTTCCACATTATCAGGTATCTTTACAGCAGTACCCCACCACCCAGTACCAATTTACTGTGTTAGTTCATTCTCACACTACCATACCCAAGACTGAGTAATTTATAAAGGAAAGAGGTTTAATGGATTCACAGTTCCACATGGATGAGGAGGTCTCACAATCGTGGTGGAAGGCAAAGGAGAAGCAAAGACACATCTTACATGGTGGCAGGCAAGAGAGCTTGTGCAGGGAACTCCCATTTATAAAACCATCAGATCTTGTAAGACTTATTCACTTTCAGGAGAAAAATATGGAGGAAACTGCCCCCATGATTTAGTTATCTCCACCTGGCCCTGCACTTGACATGCAGGGATTATTCCAATTCAAGGTGAGATTTGGGTGAGGACACAGAGCCAAACCATATCATTGAGCAAGACAAAGTCTAGATTAAATGTACAGTTATTTGAGCAACCCAGTTATTTCAGTTTAAATGAACAACTGACTCACATAAATGACAGAGACTATCATGTATGTGTTAGTAGAAACTTAAACACATATGATCAGTACTTTCCAGCAGTAAAGAATCAATCTTATATATTATATTATGTAAGTACCTTGGATAGTGCCTGGAGCATATCTGGTAGAAGTAAATGTGGGGTACTGCTGTAAAGATACCTGATAATGTGGAAGTGAATTTGGAACTGGGTAACAGACAGACGTTGGAACAGTTTGGAGGGCTCAGAAGAAGACAGGAAAATGTGAGAAAGTTTGGAACTTCCTAGAGACTTGTTGAATGACTTTGAACAAAATGCTCAGAAGAAGACATTTAAAAAAAAAAAACAAAAAATAAAAGAAATAAAAAATTTATGGAACACAGACACATAGAGAGCGTGCGCAAGAGTGGGAGCGCGAGAGAGAGAGAGAAACCATCAATTGCAGGTGAATGGGCCTATTTATTTATTACCATTAAGAAGTAAAAGAAAGGGTGAGTACCTCAAGGTGTTTCTTTCAATCACCTTGGAATCTGCACGAGAATTTCAAGCCACATTGAGAAGCTTAATATAGTGGAATTGGCGAGTTGATAGTTTTAACCTCAAAACGAATATCCACCACAAAAAAGGATTTCTGTTTTTATTTCCCCACACTACTCCCCAAGTTTATTCTAGCTTATTCCTGGCCCACTGCTTCTATTTCAGACCTGATTGCTGTCACTGAAATTGTATAGTCATGGTAAACTCTACTAGGACAAATCCTTCAAAGGCCTTGATTAAATCACCCCAGTCTTTTCTTCATATTGTAGTAGTTTTCTTACAGTTCCTCCATGTACTCCATACAGTGAGACTCACTCCCAAACATTTACTTATCTGAAAGGTATTCATACTGTTGCCCCATGGATTTTATAATTAGAAGTGTTTACAAACTGTTCTGTGTAAACTCAAGTTATACAGAATTATAACTCCCCTCAATGCAAAAGAAAAGATATTAAATTATTAGTTCATACATACAGGTAGAATACAGCACCACTTTGATCAATTATGGTCATAGTATTTCTATAGTTTATGAAGAAGCCAAATACAGATGCTTTATCTGTATGTCTGATATTCCCCCACTTTCTTTTTATCAGTTTGTGAAAAAAAAAGGGTACAATTCTTCAATTATCTAATTAAAATACTTCATGCTCAGTTGACCTCATTGGCAGGAGGAAAGACTGGACGTCTTCCTCCTGGGAGAGCTTACCCCAAGGTGCTCCAGGGCCATGTCCACTGGTCAGTAGCCAGCTGCAGCTTGTCAGGAGAGAGCAGGACTGCTTAAGGTGTCTAATCTTGCCAACTAGAGGCTGCTGGCACTCAAGTGTCAACGTGATATCACCAT